AAGGACCAATACAAGTATTATTACTAGAATAATAATGCCAGAGGAAGAACCTTACTCTTGTAGCCCCACTTCTCCTCAGGTAGCTCTTCCAAACGTTTAGAGGCAGGATGTTTTGGGTTTTTACCTGCAGGTAAAATTCTGGGTTGCCTGAGCTGGGAAAGCACTGCGGATGGGGAGGAGGTAGGAGAAAAAAAGAAATTGACTGAAGAAGTGTTTCTTAAACACAATTTTAATGAAATATCTTTAGCTCTATTCTTACTTCTTTTTGTCTATGGAATTTTGTGAAACTGCTTATCCTCTGATGGTGTCCTTATATCATGCTTCTGAATATTTAGTATTCAGCAATATTTAGCTAAATCTTTAGCTCATCATTTTACTATCCTGTTATTAGGGTTAGAGAAGGAGAGCCAGCAAATAAGTGTGTTCTGCCTGCCAGTTGTAATCAGAAGCCCCTAATATATTAGTGTTTTGATTATGGTATAAATAGCTTCGTAGTATATTTCTGGTTAGAACAAATATCCTCTTTCACATTTTCATAGTAATATTTTGTTATTTGTCTTCAAAATAAAAGTTAGCATTAGCTATCAAGTTTTATTATTTTTAATTCTGTAGGGATTTTATTTTCAAATGCATTTCACATAGGATTGTACATGTTTTACTGCCTTCATATCTGTGATTAAATCTATTTCTTACTCATAATATAGCTTGTATTCTCTCTCTTCTCTATTTTCTAGGTGGGCTTTTCAAAAAACCAATTCTAAGTTTTTCAGATGTACTTTTCTTTTGCTTTGCTGTTTTTCTATCTAACTGAATTGTGTCATTTTATCTTCAATCTTTTTCAAACATTAACATAAGCATGTAAGCCTATAAGTTTTCCACCTGATTAATTCTTTAACTTTGGTTTTTATTATGTATTATGTACCTCAGTTTTGAGTAATAATTGGAAAGTTAACAAGACAATGAAAGGCATAGAGTATGCCAGGAAAGGAAAACAGCATAGGAACCATCATAATAGCTTGAAACATGACACTTTCAAGGAATTACAAATAGTTCAAGGTGAAAGATTACTGAATGTGGCCACCATAGTACATTTCATTCATTCAATCAACAAATATTTACTGAGTGCCCACACAATGTGTCAAGCACTGTGCTAGGTTCTACCAGCCATAAACAAAATAGACATGGCCTTATGGTACTTACAATCTCAGAGAGGATATGGCATTAATAAATATTATAAATGTGACTTTAGAGGGTGCTACTTGAATACATAACAGGGAGAGCTAACCTCATCTCAAAGATCAGGAAGGCCTTCCTTAAGGAAGGCGGTTTTAGAAGAGATCTGATAGTCTACACATTGGAGTCAGTAAAGTAAGAAGATGATGCATGGCAGGAGAGGTTCCAAGCTAGAGAAAATGGATAAATCCCTCCCAGGCAAGGGACAGCATGTGTCTCATCTAAAAAAGTGAAATAAATCTACCCTGGGAGGAATGAGAAGAGCGAGGGAGAATAGTAAGAAATGAAGCGGAAGCAAGAAAAGGCAACAGTCTTGAAGAGCCTTTTAACCCTCGTACGGAATTTCCCTTTATCTTAGGACAATGGGATCCACTATAGGGTTTTTAACTTAACGAAGCAGTGGATTTGATGGTAAAGAGGGACCGTTTCTGAATAATTCCAAGTCTTGCTTTATGGTACTTGGTATTTGGATGTGCCATTTCCTTCCATAGAAGCGAGAGAGAATAATGAATGAGAAGCTAATTTATGAAGTAAAAATGATAGACTCCATTTTGGATGCATTATATTTGAGCTATCCAGGCAATATTTTTTTAAAAAGAGAGAAAAGATGTCTAGTAGGCAGTTATAAATCTGATTCAGGATAATGTTTTAAGCTGAAGATATGGCTCACAGATAATAATTGAAAATATAGAAGTAAGATTGACTGCAAAGAGTCTGTGGAGATCTTAGATTGCATTAATATGCATATTATATATTGAAAAAGGGAAATGATAGTTCTTATGTAGTCTGGGATGATCAGACCATCCGAGAAATAGCACATTCAACCTACGCCTCATCCTTTTGAAAGGAGCCACATTATCATGTTGTAAGAAAGGACTGATTGGTGAAGGAACGGAAAGACACGTCAGAAGAAATAAACACTCAGAAAAATAAAAGTTACCTTCAAATATGGGAAGAGGCATCCTGGGTAGAAGCATTAGCTTTTTCCTGTTTGTCTCTTAGTAGAACAAGGACTAATGAGCAAAATCTTTAAGGAGGCAGACTTCAATTCTATGTAAGACACATTTTCCAAACTGTTGTCCAAAGATTACACTGCTGTCCCCCTGGTCTAACCCACCACCGAATCTTTTCTATCACAGTGGCCATCCTGCTTCCACTCTTACCCTACTACAGATGTCTACCAAAGGGATCTCGTTAGATGTAAATCATCAACATGGCATGCCCGTCCCAAAACTTTCAATGGCTTCTCGTAACACTCAAAACAAAACCCAAAGTCCTTACTATGACCTACAGACCCTCAGGATTTAGCTTCTGTGCATTTCTCTAGTCTCCCAACCTTCTCTACCTCTCTCAGTTTGCTGTAGCCACACTGGGCTTGTTTGTCATTCCACAAACTCTAAGGTCACACTTGCCTCAAAGTCTTTGCACTTACTATTCCTTTTGCCTGGAACAACTACCCACTCCCTCCTTTCATTCAGGTCTCTCTGAAATGCCACTTCCTCAGAGAGTCTTTCCCTAACCATCCTTTAAAAAGTAGTTCCAACACACCCCCATCAGTCTCTATCTCCTCACCCTGCACTGCTGTCTTCAGAGCACTTGTCTTTGCCTGATGTTATTATCTGTCTTCTGAAATAAAGGTAAGGCAGAGATCTTGTCTTTGGCTTACCGCTGCATCCTAGTGCCCAGAACCTTGACTGAAACATAGTAGGCATCAGTATTTGTTAAATAAATGCCAAATGAAAAGGCTGCCATCACACTAGAGAGTGTCAGGCACAGGTTGGACATTCATTTGGTAGGAATATTGTGAAGAGTTTTAAGCATCAAGGAGTTTATTGTTTGGGTGACTCCTACATTTTATTATAGTGTTTTTATTGTGTAACATTGGTATATAGCATTATATAAATTTCAGGTGTACATCATTATATTTTGATTTCTGTGTAGATTACATCATGAACAGCACCCAAAGACTAATTACCCTCCACCACCACACACATGTGCCTAATCTCCCTTTCCTTCCTTCTCCCTCCTCCCTCCCCCTCTGGTAACCACCAATCCAATCTCTGTTGCTATCTGTTTGTTTGTCATTGTTTTTATCTTCTACTTACAAGTGAGATTATATGGTATTTGACTTTCTCCCTCTGTCTTACTTTGCTTAGCATAATACCCTCAAGGTCCATCCATGTTGTCACAAATGGCCAGATTTGATCATTTTTTATGGCTGAGTAGTATTCCATTGTGTATATATACCACATCTTCTTTATCCATTCGTCCTTTGATGGGCACCTAGGTTGCTTCCAAGTCTTGACTATTGTGAATAACGCTGCAATGAACATAGCGGGGCATGTATGTTTATGCATTCGTGTTTTCATGTTCTTTGGATAAATAACCCAGCAGTGGAATAGCTGGATCATACGGCAGTTCTATTCTCAATTTTTTGAGGAAGCTCCATACTGTTTTCCAAAGTGGCTGCACCAGTTTGCACTCCCACCAGCAATGTATGAGAGTTCCCTTCTCTCCACATCCTCTCCAACACTTGTTACCTGTCTTGTTAATTATAGCCATTCTGATGGGAATGAGGTGATATTTCATTTTAGTTTTGATTTTCATTTCCCCGATAGTTAATGATGTTGAACATCTTTTCACGTGCCTGTTGGCCATCTGTATATCTTCTTTGGAGAAAAGTCTGTTCAGATCTTTCACCCATTTTTAAATTGGGTTGTTAGTTTTTTTGTTGTTGAGATGTATCAGTTCTTTGTATATTTTGGATAATAACCCCTTATCACATATATGGTTAGAAAATATCTTCTCCCAATTGTTAGGTCGTCTTTTTGTTTTGTTGATGGTTTCCTTTGCTGGGCAGATGCTTTTTAGTTTGATGTAGTCCCATTTGTTTATTTTTTCTATTGTTTCCCTTGCCCGGTCAGACAAGGTACTTGAAAATATGCAGCTAAGACCAATGTCAAAGAGCATACTGCCTAGGTTTTCTTCTAGAAGTTTCATGGTTTCAGGTCTTATATTCAAGTCTTTAATCAGTTTTGAGTTGATTTTTGTACATGGTGTAAGATAATGCTCTACTTTCATTCTTTTGCATGTGGCTGTTCAGTTTTCCCAACACCATTTATTGAAGAGACTTTCCTTTCTCCATTGTATGTTCATGGCTCCCTTGTCAAAAATTATCAAGGAGTTTAGACAAGATGATATTTAGATCCCTTCCTGACTGAAGTGTAATGAGTCCATATTGCTTCATGAAGATTTTTGGAAATATATATAAATTTGGAAATAATATGTTTCTCTACCTGTCTCCCATGGGCTTCTAACCTGTGCCCCTTGAGAAGGTGTAGGGAGGAATAAATTGGGAAGCTTTCCCAGTTTTTTTCTTGTCAACTAATTTGTGCTCTATACTTGATTTCCTACAGGTAAGTGACTTCTACCTTGCTGTGCTCTCTAATTCTGATAAAGGCTGCAGAATGAATAATGAAATTAAGTTACTTAAGAAGGATAATTATTTCTGTGGAAAAGTGGGCAAGTGGCCTGGGAACACAATGTAATAACTGGTGGTTGAAAGCAGTCAGAACTGCCTGGTTTTGCCATTGTTGGACAAGTCACTTAACCCTTCTCTGCCTCCATTTCTTCATCTGTTAAATGAAGATTAAGTGATTAGTAGATATAAACACATTAATATGTAAAGCACGTGGAATGATACCTGGGACACACTGAGCACTTTATAAGTATTAGCTATTAATTGATTTGTGACATCGTAAACAAAATACCATAATGAAATATTCTGTTATAATTGACGAAAATTCAAATTAACAAATTATCTGAAACCTTATTTACAACCAATTATTTGATGGGTAAAGATTGATCTAGGTTTTTAAGGGTTTATATATAATTTTTTACAACTTAAGAAATATTTTTAGTTTGGTCTTCATGATCATTCTTCCAGATGGAGAAGGCAGATGAGGAAAGGGTCTCAAGAGCTTAAGCGATTTGTTCCAATTTACACAGCTAGTCATGGGTTAAGCCTGGCTTATTATTCTTAATGCACGTTCCACAACATTAAGATACAAAAGGAGCAGGCAGTCTCTGAAGAAACAGGAGAAGATTTCCAAACATATGATATGCTACTGCTTAACTTTCTCTCCACTTCCTATTGGAGCTTCCTGTTGGTCGAAGTCTCTCTTAAAATTAAGCCTTTCTTACATGGTCGGGTTAATAGGCCCAATCTTTGTTTCAGTTTTGAGCCTTAAATAGACATGGTTGGATGTTATGTAGCAGAAATGAATGGCTGCTAAGCAAGCTTATTTCTTCCATTATTCACTGATGGAGAGGCAGGAAACTACTCAAGTCATACAACCATGATAACAAGACAGCAGATAACTAGATGCCTGAGTTGTCAAGAGATAGGATGCCAGCGTCCATTAACTCAACTCTTCATGTCCGAGTCTGGGGGAAAAAGTTGTTTTCATAGGAAACTACCTATTGTTGTATTGCTGTCTTTTTAAAATTAAAAGAAGAGAAAATAGTTGTAAGAAAACAATTAACAGACATCATAAATAGTTTGCACCCCTCAAATCAAGTGTGTGTGTGTTCCTCCATTACTGATCATTTCAAAAATCTTAACTTTCCTACATGCTTCACTATTCCTATTACTGGTTTCTGCATTTGCTTTTCTGTAAACTGATACAACGCATTTATGTAAACGCTAGATAAGTTCTATCAATTGTCATAGCACTTCCTACACCCTCCATAAGGCATTACCTGAGGATTCTCATCTATGAATATCATATGAAGTGTGCATTGCTAGGACAGGCACATTAATTAAAATTAATTACAGCTAATAAAAGGCACAGGTAAAAATGAGCAATTATTTAGGTCTTAATAAAAATCTGAAAACATAAGCCTTTTACCTCAAAAGAATGCATATACCCTATTAAGTCTTTTTGATAACATTTATCAATATATAACCATATGAGTTTTCTTGTTGTGTGCACCTGGTGAAACCACTCCTATTCTGAAGACAAATGTATTCCCCTTTGAGGCACATTATACCTTTGACAGTGTCTTGAAGATATTCATTCCACACTGTCCTTTGGATAGAAAATAAAAATTTTAAATATTCTTTTAGAAAAAAGTAAAGAGTTATCAGGCAAGAAAATTAAAAATATATATATTTGACAATAGTAAAAATTCTCTGTACCATCTGCAATCCCTTTAAAAGCCAGATGTATATCTAGATTTACATAGTTTCCCCCATTGAAAAAAAAATGAGGCCAAAAGAAGGGTACTGCAGCCTCTAAACATTCTGATTTCAGCTCTGAGAAGCCTAGAAAAACAGACGGATAAGTACTAAGAAAGCTCATGGAGGGGCCGGCCCTGTGGCCAAGTGGTTAAGTTCGCACGCTCCACTTCGGTGGCCCAGGGCTTCACTGGTTGGGATCCTGGGCGTGGACATGGCACCGCTCATCAAGCCAGGCTGAGGCAGTGTCCCACATAGCACAACCAGAAGGACCTACCAGTAGAATATACAACTATGTACTGGGGGGCTTTGGGGAGAAGAGAAAAACAAAAAGACTGGCAACAGATGTTAGCCCAGGTGCCAATCATTAAAAAAAGAAAGAAAGCACCAAGGATCAAAAATAACTTCCCTAACAAATTATGTTAATATTGTAAATTTCCCTTTTTAAATGCCACCAGTACGCCCACCTGACTGAAAGAGGACTATGGACAGAGACTTCACTATGAATTATAGTAATGGATTTAAATCATATCTTTTAAGAACTGATATTTTTAAAGTGGTAGGGCAAGTGAAGAAGAGAGAACTTGGGAAGAGGGTAAGACCCACGGACGTGCTCCAGGAGAGGCAGCTACAGAGGAGCATGAGAGGACCCCAGAGACAAACCGCATCCGCCTTGAAACTGGAATCTTTTAGAAGATGCTGAACTAAAAGTGCATTCCCCATTCTCCCTTCCCCCCAACTCATCCTGGAGCTGCCACTGGCTGATCTGCCATTTTACAGAGGCCATAAATAGAAGGCAGGATACCACATAAGCTGAGACATTTGCCTCACTAATGTGTGGCTACATGAATCTACGCAGCACGAATGGATCCAAATTTATCTTGGATGTTAAGAATGCTTTAACAGGCTATGACACTTGGATAGCTCTCAATCCAATTTTCAAATACTTGCAAGAAGAAACAGCAAGTTAAGAATTTGCTGTGCACTTTCTACCCTTTTAGCCCCCAGCTCCACCCCTGTTCTCCAGCCCTGCACTTTTGAACATTAGGAGTAAAAGCTTTCTAACAAGAGAATACACTTCAAGATTTTATAAAATTTCTAAACATTGTATTCTTCTCAGAAACACAGATCTAAATGGAGATCAAATCATATGTTAAATTATTAACAAATTCTATTTATTCATTAAGTAACAGTACTAAAACAAGAAAGAGTATTATAGTTGCAGGCTTAACTTTCTTTTGATGCTTGAGCTATCTGGTCCACAACATCTTGTATTTTTTCAAATAATCAGCACTTGATAACAAATGACTGAGAGTCAGGCTCTAGCAAGCTATTTGTCTTCCAGATGCTAATAGGACTGTACTGAAGCAGTCTTGTAGTTCTTCATATTTAGTGCCCTAAAATTGGAAAATAAATGCACATTTAATTTTATAGGTACAGGTAATACATCTGCACATTCTTGTAAAAATGTTTTGCAATAAAAAATTAACAATTAAAAACCAAATTTTCTCACCAAATTAAAAAGCTTTACTTTATACACGGCAGATATATTTTCAAAATGTAATTGAAGAAGGAAAAATTGGTTTATAGGACCAAATTTAAATACTACCATCCAGGGAAGTTCATTAGTTTTAAAATTAGGGTAAAAGAAGCTGAAACTTGATTTAGGATAATATTTGTGGTAATGTGAAAAGAAAGAGACTTCAATAAACTCAAAATTACTAAACAAAAGATAAAACTTCTGATTTTTCAAAAAAGCAATCAGTTACTCTTTTCTTTTCTCTGCTCCAAACACATATGCTGGGCAGTACAGGACTTTCTCAGGTCTGTTCTCTGGATAGAAAAGAACACACAGAAAGCCTGAAGGCACCACCCGCCAAAAAAAATTCCATCTATTTGAGGTCGAGTGTGGTGAGGAAAATTCTAATTTTACTGCCCATTCTGTTATATGTATAGATACACTTGGGCACAGTACTGACAGGTGGCTTGCCAAAGGATGAAAGGTCAAAGGACATGGAAAAAAGGCTCCACATCTTGCTGTTTCCAGTCCAATACTCTAGCAACTGCCCACACATAATATTATTCCTGTAGACAACAGCTAAATTACATAAATAATGAAGGGCAATCTTACTTCTGTGATATAATAATAATGTTGGTATTATAATCACTGTCCACAAGTGATAAAGATGTACTACTGATTTTATAAAAGAAAAGAACGTGAATTTGGTGTCCTTTACCTAACCCACTGTATGATCACACCGAAGTTAGAAATATGTAAATTAGTTTAATTGGCATTAAAACTTTTTCAATGAATAGATAGAAAGGTAATCAAATAAATTCTACTTATTTACAGTCTTTCGCGCACACATACAAAAAGAATGATGGAGTGTCCTTCTCTAATTTACATCCTGACCTCTTAAGAACTTCATTTCAACTTAGAAAGTGCTCAAAAACTGGGTAAAATTGAACTTTTAAGGGGCTGGCCCCGTGGCCGAGTGGTTAAGTTCACGCGCTCCGCTGCAGGCGGCCCAGTGTTTCGTTAGTTCGAATCCTGGGCGCGGACATGGCACTGCTCATCAGACCATGCTGAGGCAGCGTCCCACATGCCACAACTAGAAGAACCCACAACGAAGAATACACAACTATGTACCGGGGGGCTTTGGGGAGAAAAAGGAAAAAATAAAATCTTTAAAAAAAAAAAATTGAACTTTTAAAATACCTTAATAATATACTTTTCTTCAAAGTATTATCAAGTGATGTGAATAGTGTTTTTAATTAACCAAAATATTTCCTGTTCTCATAGAAGATTATTTCAAAGTGAAGGATAGAAATCTTAACGTGTCATTAGGATTCCTCACAATTACTGAGAGTCTGGAGCCCACACAGACATAATCATTTAACAAGGGTCAAAAAGTCCCTTTGAGAAACAGACAATGTTAACACGTACTGCTAATTGAACTATAAATATATAAATAATCTCAAACAACTCATAATACGGTGCTTAAAAAATTATGGACAGAACAGTTTGGTACAGTTAAATTAAGCTTTTTCCATTGGGAATTTCAGAAGCTGGAAAAGAACTTCTACATTGGAAAGCAGAAATACAGATGGAGCTGAGATTTCTAAAGTCACCCAAATTTGTCATTTCTAAAAGTATGTACAAATAAAAGATTATGTCGAAGAAATCTAAAAGTTGAGAACAATTTTTCATGGTATATGGGCTAAATGTAACATATTACTACCTTTTGACATTCAAAGTCATTATACTTTCAATCGGTCTGCTTTTTGGTCCACCTGGTGGGTGGAAAATCTTAACATCTTTGCTGGAAATCTGGTTTGTCGATTTAACCATATAAGGGTCAGCAGAATGTGAAGGGTAAGGGTCAAATGTTCCTGCCTTCATTCCACCAGCCTATAAATAAAAATGAGACAATTTAATGTGGTTTTGTAAAATGCTTCCAACAAAATTAGATTTTGATGAAGTTCATAAATATTTGTGTATTGTCTATAAAGTTAGTTTTACATTTAAAGAAAGTTGTCCATACTGTTTAATTCAAATACCAGCAAAGAGTATCGCTACCGCCAATGTTACGGGGTCAGCACACTGTAATTCCAGAAGTTCTCTATTAAAATGCAAATGTTTATAGGAAGGTAATATTCTAGACTATTGCCAAGCATTAATATTTTAGTGAGAGTTTATCAGACCTGGTATTACCTAGTTAGACGGTGAGCCTATTACTGAGAGAATGAGACCTAGGTCACACATATTTTGATAGAGAAAGGAGTTAAGGCTCAGAACCAGAGGATGGAGAAGAGGCCAAGGGTGAAGTTTGTCCAACAGAGAGCCTGGCATAACATGAGTTTACTAAGCATCAGTCAGTGATGGTGAAGATACTGAAAAGAAGGAATAGCACAGAGAAACAGGTGAGAGGAAAATAGGATCTCCTCTACTTTCAACTTTTCTTGTAGTCTATTAACAGTAGTCAATTAAAATATTTTTTTTACATGTACACAAAACAGACAAATATTTGCTTTGACTTTTAAATTGATTTACCACGATTTTAATCTTTATATTATACATAGTCACCAAGAAAACTACAAAATCATAATAATCCATTTAATTAGGCATCCTTTCTCTTAGAGCATCTAAGCCAAACATACATGAAAAGTTAATTCATTTGAAAGACATGGTTGTTAATTTTTCAAGTTTTCCAGATTGAGGACACACGAATTTTCTTGAAGAGCAACAAAGAATACGGAAACTGAAGCAAAGTAAAATAAATTCATTAATAAATGTAAAAACAAAATCGATGAATTAAAAACAGAAAAATACATACGATAAATAAACTAACCCATCAGATTATACCTTAAAAAATAAATTAAACAGATAAATCTATATTATAATTAAGAATGAGAATGGAGTGGAGAGAACCTATACATATATGGAATACCAAAAAACATAAAATAATATTTTTGTAAACCACCACGTTAATAAATTTGAAAACCTGAATGAAATGAAAAATTTTCAAAGGAAATATAAATGTCAAAATTGACTTAGAGAGGGGCTGGCCCCGTGGCCAAGTGGTTACGTTCGCGCGCTCCGCTGCAGGCGGCCCAGTGTTTCGTTAGTTCGAATCCTGGGCGCGGACATGGCACTGCTCATCAGACCACGCTGAGGCAGCATCCCACATGCCACAACTAGAAGAACCCACAACAAAGAATACACAACTATGTACTGGGGGGGCTTTGGGGAGAAAAAGGAAAAAATAAAATCTTTTAAAAAAAAAAAATTGACTTAGAGATAGAAAACCTACAGAAAACAAATAGGCACCATGCAAGAAATTAAGCCCAGAACATTTCCTATGAGAATTCTTTCAAGCCTTCAAGAAACAAGTATTTCTGGTGCTATTTAAACTGTTACAGATCATAAAAAAAGGAGGAAATCTCCCTGATTATTTGAAGATGCTAGTATCTATTTACACCAAAATAGAACAAAGCATACAACAACAAAAAAAGTATAGACCAGTCACACTTAAAATTATTGCAATAAATTGGAAAGAAGGGAGCAAAATTATTTGCAGATAATCATATATCCGAAAACCCAAACAGAAACAAAAGAACACCCATTAGAACATAAGAAAGTTTAATGAAGTGGCCAGTTATTTTAAAAAATCAAATGTTTTTATAAAGACAAATTATGTGAGGGGAAATATATAGGGGAAAAAGCTATTGACCAGAGCCTTAAAATAAGTAGGAATAAATATAAGATATATAAACTTATGTGAAGTCAAATATAAAATTCTATAAGGGAAATAAAAATTTTATAAGTAGTTTACTTCTAGATCAGATCAGGAGATTCAAATTATGAATATGCTAATACATCCAAAAATCTAAAGATTTAACTTTACGACAACATACAAAAGGTCTTGTTTTTTGCCAGAACTTTACAAAATAATCCCAAAGTTCCAGAGAATAAATATGGGAGAACAGCCAATACAACACTTTTAAAGAATAACAAGAAGAGATTAGACCACCCAATATTAATAGCAATTAAAAGCCGTTTGGTACTGACAGAAATAAACAAACATTGGTCAAACAGAATGGAAATCCAGAAGAAAAAAAACCCTCAAAAATGGGAATTTTTATTTGATAAAGGTGACATTTCAAAGCAGTGGTGTTAAAAATTACTTTATCAGTGAGATTAGGAACAACTGGCTTTTTAAACAATGAGTTTTATTGAAGTTTAATTCATGTACAATAAACTGCACCCATTTAAAGTTTACAGCTCTATGAGTTCTGAAAGATGTTTATACCCTTGAACCACAACCACAATCAAGACACAGAACACATTCCCCCCAAAAAACTGCCCTAAAAAACAATCCTTATGGCAATTAAATTAAATAAATAAACAAAAAAATTAACTTTCCAAAATTAAAAAAAAAAGATCCTCCTGCCCTAAAAACTGGATTTTGAAAAAGATAAAAGCTGAACCCTTACCTCACTCTTCATATCAAAATATATTTCAGATGAAGATGCAAAAGGATAAGACTAATAGAAGAAATCAAGAGTGTATATTTTTCTAATATGGGTGGTAAAGTCATTCTGAGAATGGCATCAAACTCAGCACAAAGGATTGAAAAATCTGACTACATCAAATTATTAAGTTTCTGAATAGCACAAAATATTACAAGCAACGTCAAAGATCCAATAGATTAGAAAAATTATTTTCAAGACAAATGACAAAAGAACAATATCCTTAATATACAAAAAGATCTTACAAATCAATATGAAAAAGATAAATACCCTAATAGAAAATCCACAGGGGAAATGAACAGGCAATTCACAGAGGAAAAAATTAAGTATAAGCTAAGGTTTATAAACTATAAGAAGCATTTTAATTTATATTCACACCTAAATTTCAGCAGAGAAACATAGTTCATTTTAATCACCATTTCAAAAACTGAAAGATGGTCAGGCTTTTTATGGTTTTGAGAAAAACTGTCCCTAAGATCTAGAGGGGCACTTAGAAAATACGTCATCAATTCAAATACATTCAAAGTGATTAGCAATCACTTCATTACAAGAGCTTCATTACTCCCCACTCTAGCCATGCTTTGTGACTTCTCATAATTTTGTAAAAACGAGTTTCATGATTCTTGGCGTGAATACAAATAGAAGTTTATTATTTCCATGGGTAATAAAATAATTTGACAGCAAGAGGCAACATTTCTTTATAATGCTTACCATTTCTTCATTCTACAATTTTTAACTTACCTTTTTTCCAGGAGAGCAGGGTTTAAAGGGGCTTGCAAGTACTTCTTTCTTCTCTGCTTTTTTAAGCGGCGGTAAAGGCTTCTCAGACAAATAAGGATTGGAATCAAAATATTCCCTTGGGTAAAGATTTAACTTGAAAGGTGTCCCTTTAAGTAAATCATGGTGTTTTTCATTCTCTTTCTGCAAATTTAAGAGTTTGAAATTATAGAGCATAAATTACTCAAATTGGAAGTAACAGAGTCAAATCTTCTTTTAAATTTTAATATAAGCATGTAGGTTTTTAAATATACATTGCTGGGTTCACTTTTTTAAACATTCCTTTGTTATGGTCTGTTTTTATGAGACAAAAGATATGCTTGCTTATGAACAGGCACAACTATGATTGTTCATTTGGGATATAAATTTATTTGAAATATAGAGATCTATTATTATCTGAACACGTCTATATTAACTATCTGAGTGATGTGATATAATTTGAAAAAGACTGGCCTCTAGTTCAAACCCGAACTCCTTCCTGCTTTTTAGCATTTCTTAGGGACTCTGGGAAATTTACTTACCCTTTTAGTGTCACATTTTCTTCAACTGTAAATGAGGATATCTCCCCTCCCCCACCCCTTAAATCTGTTGTAAAGATTAAAGGAGACCATGTGTACAAAGTACCTGGCATATGGTAGGCTCTCAATAAATGTCAGTTTTTACTTCCAAGAATAAGGAATACTTACTTTTTATACAATATATCATTCTTATATTACAACATTACTAACTACCTAGTATTCAAGCAAAACAGAAGTCATTTTTTCCCCTCCCATATTGCAATCTTCTCTATGGGACAACACTAAGTATAAAAATTGCTGTTGATAATGTAGAAAAAAATTTAAATTATGAGTTATCCATTCAAAAAGACAGCTACAAAAATACTGATGCATTTTTTCACTTTTTAAAAATATGAAATCTGATATTTCATCATTCAACCAACAACTGAAAACGTCTCGTAAACGAAATTTAAATAGATAGTCAATGCAGGGAAGATGACTTTTCATTACGAAGAACGAAGAACGCTGTAGTAACACTTCCAGAAACGTTCCCCCTTTTTGGATTTTTCTCTTGCTTTTGCTTGTCCTCTTCCTTCCTGCAGCCTATAGGAATTTCACGCCTTCTTGGTGATCTCCTCCCCCTCTTCCACACCACAATGGTACTGATAATTTAACTATTCCTTTATCCTTTTGGGCAGTGTTTCTCAAATTCTAATTTTCACAGAAATCACTTGATTATTTCATTTACAAATTACCAGGCTCCTTCCCTCCGAGATTTTTTATCTTATCGATCTGCTGTAAGGCCCATTAATCTGCGGTTTTAACAGTCACCCCGGGTGATTCAGATGCAGGTGATCACAAGACAGTGCTTAAGGATCACCTTTTACTAGAGTATGGTCACCTTTTACTAAAACACTGTATTTGTTCTACCAACCCCTGTCCTAGAGTATTCAGTTGAGCAGTGATTGGCACATATATGTGAGGAAAGTAGGCAAAGCCAAGAAAAGAAACCCCCAAAACGATTAGAGGTGACAGTGTCCAGCTGTCACGGAGTGCTGATTCCAGAGCTGTGCTAGAAAACCTGATTCCCAGGATAAGGGGTTGAGGACACAGAAAAGACTGGTCTTCCTCAGTAGTGGGGAGTAAGCCCTGAATTGAGCATTGCTCCTGCCCCACCTACCAAACCTTAAAAGCAAGACATGAAAAAATCAAACCATTTCCAAATACTTTAACTGCATCTCACAACAAAGCCCAAGAATATTTATAAGGATACAAAAATATACAGCACTCAACAAGACAAAATTCACAATGCCTGACATCCAATCAAAAATTACCAGTAATGCGGGGCTGGCCCCGTGGCCGAGTGGTTAAGTTCGCGCGCTCCGCTGCAGGCGGCCCAGTGTTTCATTAGTTCGAATCCTGGGCGCGGACATGGCACTGCTCATCAGACCATGCTGAGGCAGCGTCCCACATGCCACAACTAGAAGAACCCACAACAAAGAATACACAACTATGTACCGGGGGGGCTTTGGGGAGAAAAAGGAAAAAATAAAATCTTTAAAAAAAAAAAAGAAAAATTACCAGTAATGCAAAGAAGTAGGAAAATATGACCCATCCTGAGCGGAAAACTCCATCGTTCAAAATCAACCAAGAACTGACACAACTGTTAGAATTAGCAGAGAAGGACATTAAAACAGTAATTAAACCATCTTCTATATGCTCATAAAGTTAAGTAGAGACACAGAAGATATAAAAAACACTCAGATCGAACTTCTAGAGAGCAAAACCACAGTGTGTGAGATTAAAAATACACAGGGTGACATTAAGAGCAGTTAGACATTGCAGAAGAATAGGGTGGTGACTTTGAAGACAGCAATAGAAACTACTCAAAATGAAATACAGAAAAGGAAAAAAAAGAATGAAAAAAACGAAAGTGAACAGAGCATTGGTACATTATGGAACAATATCAAGGGACCCAAGGCACAAGTAATTGGAGTCTCTGAAGGAGAGGAGAAAGAGGGAGGCACAGAAAAAATATCTGAAGAAATAATAGCTGAAAATACTGCAAACTTGATGAAAACTATAAACCCACAGATCCAAGAAGTTTAATAAACCTCAAGCACAAGAAGCATGAGGAAAACAACACCAAGCCACATCAGAATCAAATTGCTCAGATGAGTGATAAAGAAAATCTTTAAAGTAGCCAGAGAAAAAGACAGTACATATAGAACAACAAAAACAAGCATGACAGCAGATTTCTTGTCAGAAACAAGTCAAGCAAATATACAGTGGAGTAATCTCTTTAAAATTCTAAAAGCAAAGATACATTTTTAAAAATTATTTTAAGAATTAATTTTAAGAAATCCAGGGACATAAACTTTCTGGCTCATGAATAAGAAGTTCTGAAAATAAGAACACAAGAGCTTTACTATAAGGAGAGGAAAGTATCTTATAAAGTTTAGGATGAAAGACTAATTACTGAGCCATTGATAAAGTTGCCTTGTATGTACTTATATATTATTATTATCCCTATAGACGAAAAGTTGTTTATAAATAATTTTACATAAACTGAATATTCTATACATAGAAAGAGAGATGCTGGGGCCGGCCCCGTGGCACAGCAGTTACGAGCGCACATTCCACTTCGGCGGCTCAGGGTTCACTGGTTCGGATCCTGGGTGTGGACATGGCACTGCTTGGCAAGCCATGCTGTGGTAGGCATCCCACATATAAAGTAGAGGAAGATGGGCACAGATGTTAGCTCAGGGCCAGTCTTCCTCAGCAAAAAGAGGAGGATTGGCGGCAGATGTTAGCTCAGGGCTAATCTTCCTCAAAAAAAAAAAAAGAGAAAGAAACAGAGATGCTTATTTTCAGATGACCAAGATTTCTGCCCAATTTAATAGAAAACTTTTCCTGGCTTTGGACACACTCATTTGCAAAATTAGCCACTATCCTTTTACCTCACAGCCCTACTGCCACTTAAAACCACCATGGCAAAACTGTTGAAGACTGCATGCCTAAAAACACAAAAACGAAAAGAACTAGCAAAACGGTTGTCATTTAATTTCTGTCGCTTAAAGTCCAAACAAACTTGACTTTTCATTACCATCAGCTTTCTTTATGTTGATATTATTAAATTATGTTGATATTATTAAATTATGTTGATATTGTTCCAAAATTTATAAGGGTTTCTCTATTCATTCACATGTAGGCATTCCCCATAAAGTGAATAGGTTTCATTATAAGTCAAATATTGTATAAAGTGAGTGTAAGAGGCATATGCCGGTACATTTCAGTTTTTATTTCTGCCATTTAATAAAGTGAGTAGTTTTTTCACAACCTTTTTCTCTCTCTTCTGTGGGTATTCATCCATTCTCCACTCTCCACTTTCTCCCTTCTCCCCGTCACTCCTCCATTCCATTCACTCAGCATAGCGGCTTCTTGATCAGCCCAAAAGTACTACCACCTCCACTTTCTTAGGCAGAAGTTACTAGGGTGTGGTGGGAATGTGGCTAAGGGTGAGGATATGACTCTTTTACTTAAAATAGCACAAAGTTGACCATGCCAAGTTAAGAGAAGTCTCATAGCTAGTTCAGAGAGATGTAAGATAGATGTGGTCAATTGCAGAGGAGACAAAAGTTCATCATAGGAAGAGCTGAGAAGATCTACAGCCTGATGTGGAAATCTAACATGAAAAAGGTAAAATTATCACAATTCATAAACATCAGTCTGCCATTGCCCCAGTAATATAAGTAGATACAACAAAACAAAACATAATTAGACCACAAGTGAATTCTCTAAGTCAGCTAAATAAGAGAAAGGTTGAAAAATGTTAAAATACATTATTTTACCTTATAATTCAGTCTCGGTGCATCGTAGAAATCAGCAGAGTGTGAAAACTGTTTACCTATGGTAATATTCGCATAGCTAAGGAAGGAAAACAAGTAATGGTGACTTCAAGTTCTGAAACGTCAAATTTGATCTTATTTTTTTAAGTTCAAAACAAATTATATGAAAGTATTAAAAATATCTTACCCATATCCAGTTCCTTTCTTGCCTGGGCTTGTGTATAAATTCTTTCCAGGTACCACATATTTTTCCCGGGGTTTTGACTGTGCACTGAAGAATGGGACTGGACCTCCTATTGTCCCATAGTAGCTTCCTAATCCACATCTTAAATACAGTAGTAAAAGGAGCAGGTTAAAATGGCAAACTTCACGTTATATATATTTTACCACAATTTATAAAAAATGATTGAAAAAGGAGCAAAACATATGCAATGGAATTGATTTGCTTAACTTTGATGAGAAAAGAAAAAACAATTTTTGTAAGTTTTTCATCTAACTTCCCCCAGTTTTCAAAGTCACAAACTTTGAGATAGTAAGTTTTTAATTTTTTATGCTTATTTTAAATCTTCCACATAACAAAACTTCATCATCTCTGTAAAGTTAGAATAGTTTCCAGGAATTCAGTTAACTATAACAATAAGTAGACCCTTTTGTGGTTTTAGATGAATTTCTTGACACTTTATGGCAAGTTAGCTAATAAATGGCTGATTTCTTCTGACTATGCACTCACTAGAAACTATACTTTCAAAACATGTATGTAAAAGTATTGTTTCCACTGCTGATGGCAAAGTGTATCTCATGGAATTTTGGTGCCGATTTTCTTCTTTTGTGTTTAAACTTATTTCTTCACTATCGAAAAATATTAATCAAATATTTTTTCTTCAATTTTAAATTTTTAAATTTTCCGAACCCACAATATATATTTAATCATTAAACTATTTATCATCTAGCACTTGTAACAAATGCTTCCTTTAAAATTTTCACGATAAAAAGGATGACTAATGTTAGTAAGTCATAGTCTCTAATTTCCAAGTTATCATTGAAGTAAATAAGATTTAGTAATCAGAAAATGGTCTACAAGACAAATGAAACCTTATTATTATCAAAATGACACTGTTTATACATTTGAATTAAAAATTTCAAAAACTAGAAACACATCAACATTGATTACTTATTATCTCTGGCCTACAAATAAAGGTTCCGTTAAGAGAAGACATTCATTTTCATTAATCGCTATTTATAAACATATGTCATAAATTCTAAAATACAGTAAGGAAATAAGACAAGGACACAGCACAGAAAAGGACAATTATGCACAGGCATAATCTAACTAGAACGTGATTTTATGCAAGCATTAAGAATCAGTACATTTAGAATTTATTAAACGCCTACGGTTCCATAATTTGCTGTCGAAGAAGTACCAGTATGAGGGCTGGTTATTTATATCACCAATCTCTCTTTTTGGAAATGCTTTCTATATCCCACAAAATTAAAGATGTTTTTCACACATCTGTGAGCTTTAAAAAGAAAGAAAAATTACTCTAATTCTAAAACTGTTATTATTTCTTGGCTGACAAATGAATAAAAGCGTATTATAAACTAATGTATCAAGGCAACAATTTCCAATTATTACCACAAGAGGTCAAAGTTCATCAAGGGGGAGGAAACTCAAAAATAGGAAAAAGTTATTTAAAGGGTAAAATACATACATTAGATAAAAAAGAAATGAAGTAGTGAATCAAAAAATGCACGTTTGAATTTAAATCAAAGAATAAAATGAAGAGGCCCAAGAAAAAGTAATAATAATAAATAATTCAAACCTATCCAAAGTGTGAAAAGGTTAAAAACTATTAAACTATAATAACAGATAAGAAACTCCCCACTCTTAATAAAAACTTAGCAATTTTGACTTAGAAGAATGCACCTTTACTGAGCTCAAGAAAATACCACAAATAAGCACAAAATTAGCCTTCAACCAATCCTCATCTATCATAAATTCTAAATTGAGTCAACGTTATTGAGCATGGCTTATAAAGCTCAGCTTTATAATATGATATAGACTATCCAGTTTTATTTGTTTAATGATTTAAAGGTAAGAAAAAAAATCAACCTTGAGGTGACAACTGTCACAACTAAAATATTGTTAAACCCCATGCGTGTATCTTCACAATGATTTTTAAATAACATATCTTTGATAAATTATCTTCTTTATCAAAAATAAGACTCCTAATTTTTTATTCATACTATTTAAAAGTTTTTAAAAAGCAGAAAAAAATAGTCAAGGGCACAGATAAAGAAATTTTTTCCCTCATCTGACTATTCTAAGGTTTCCAAACAAATTTATTTTCATTATTTAGTTGGCTTTTATTATAAAATTCTCTATAAACTGATAGAGAACAGTGACATAGATAATCAAAAATTTAATGTGATAATGAGAATCTACTTAATGAAAATTACCTGTCAACTTAAACCATTCAATATAACCATCTCTACGTAAGACAAACTTAACCTAAGAATCAGACTTTAAAAAATGAGTCGTACATTAGTCAGTCCTATGAGAAAACAAACACTTAATTTAGGCTAGAGGAGAGAAAGGTGCAAGACATGTATTTCAGATTTTTCTCCCAAACACTTACGGCTTTTTTTCTCCACTGCTAGGGAGAAAGGCTTTGCTTAGATTTTTTTTGGCTTCTTCCATCATACGCCGTCTCCTCACTTGATTCAGATTTACATAGCCTTCGCCTTCAAAAATTCTTACAAAACGGGGATCAAAATAACCTGCCTGGAGATTTGACATTTCCTTGGATCCCCCAGGCAGCATCTGTCTGTTTTTGCTTGCAGCCTCATTAAAGGGTCCTTTAAAAGTAAAGCAGGAATATCATGACTTTGAGCTCACTAGTAGTTAAAGAATATGAAAAATAACTGAGGGAGAAAACGGCCATGCACCTTTGGAAAAAAGTAAAATTACCTCTGACGAGAATATATGAAGGCAGGATAGCCCAATGAAATGAGCTCCTTGCTCTTATCAAATTAAGTTCTCTCTTAACTCTATGGAAATTTCACAAGTTTATTCAACTTTACAACTAACACTTTGAAAAATATCATTTAACTTAAATATTAAATCCAAAATTTCGTATAGAAAATATCCACTATTACGCTGTAAAGAAAACCAAATATACTTACTATTAAATGATGACACATATTTATCCCCAACAGTAACATATTCCATCTCACTGAAGAGGCCAATCCTCTCCATATCGGTCTTCCCTCCTTCTGCAGGCATCGTTGCTATTTGTGGTGGTGTTCTCTATAGTAGTAACTTCAAAAGATTCCTTAGGGCTACTGCTTTTATAGCAAAACCCTACTTTGTGTTGAAAACTACAGGGGAAAAGTTTAGGGGAAAAAAATGATTACTAAATTTCAGTCCAAATTACTTTCAGTCTAACATTCAGTTAACATTCACTATAAAACAACAGTCCCAACGCATGTGGGGAAAGAATCTACTGTGTGGGGCTGGAGGAGAATAATGGGACTTAAAATTATCACCTCGAACCCTCCTCTTGACTGTCCAGGGGAAGTATCCATAAATTACACAGAAATGTGTATGACAGCATCTGTTGCATTGCCATTCATCTGTTGTGTGCACTAGTGAAAAAAACAACCACTGGCTTGTGCTTCCCAGTTTATAAGCCAAGGTAAGAATCTTTTCCCTTAAATTTCAAGCAAGCTGTTTCAACACCATGAAACACGCTTGCCTACTTAGAACTGTGGCTCATCTGAGCATGAATCATTGCTAATACATACGATCAAAGGGGCGTGTGAAGATTCTGTTTAAATTAAAGCATAAGGAAATACAACCCCCTTTCCCCATCCTACCTCTTCTTCTGATCAAGGGATGTCTTAAAACCAAACACCAGTCTGTTGAGGCGAACTACTTCGGTTTGTGTCCATCCCTACTGCCCAACAACAAAGGCTTCCTGTGCTGCTACAGGGGCTCAAATCCTGTAAATGGCTCACAAGGTCCGCTATCTCCCTCATCTGTCACCATAGGGATCCCCACCCTGGCACATGGGCCCCATTTGTGTTCTTCCAGTTCTGATGGGGCTGTCTCCAGCCACAGGACCATGGCACATGCTGTTTCACTTTAGGCTGGTACTTCACTGTGCCGACCCCTCTTGTTCCCCCAATTAACACTAATCCTTCGGATTGTTTAGCTCATCCATCACTTGGTTAATTCCCTCTATCATAGCGGTATGTACCTCTCCTTCCAAGCCCTCATCATGGTTATTGAATGGGTTATCATTTTACATTCACCGTGCAGAGATCCTTTAATTAAGAGCTGTTTCCCCCACTAAACTGTGGGCTGCAGGAAGGCCGGAACCGTGGTATGAGTTGGGTTCTTCCTCACCACAGTATTCCCAGTGTTTGCGCAGCGTCTGGCACACAACCAAGCGAGCCACAGACAGAGGGAAGGAGGCAAGAAAAGAAAGGACAGAAGTTCTTGCTTTGAATTTTTCCACTACTTAACTTTTCTTGAGCAACGTTTGCAAAATCATTCATTCATACATTTAACAGATACTTTGCAAACCCCTCCTCTGGGTAAAGCTCGCTGGTAGAAGCTAGGAAAACTGAGACCTTAAAAGGCATCGATCCTACCCCCAGAGAGCTTACAATCTAGTAGACAAGAATGGAATTAAGGACAACACAAGATGGCAAGTTCCCTTGAAAGGCACGGATAAAGCGCCGTGGGCGGTGATGGAGGGGCAGAAAACTTCGGCTAAGGTGATGGGGCAAAGGATTTCCCATTAGGGAAACGGAGGATCGGAGTAGGCAGGTATCTAAAGCGCCACCTGGCGACCAAGAGGACCAAATCACCTCTCAGAAGGGCACCCAGCCCGACTACCGAGATCAGAGGGTCCCACGGCCAGTCCGGATGAACTCAGCTGAAGCAGCCACGGGACCTACGAGTCACGCTCGTGCCACGATTCCGCGCGGGGCGCCGCCACGAGACGCCTCTGCACGGCCCGCGCACCGCCCGTGTTTATTGTGGCGCGTCGCCTGGGGTACGGGAGAATCCATTCCAAGTGCTCTACGCAGGATACATGGAGAGTTCCAGTCCGCATCGAGGACCACACAGACGGATTTACGAGGCTCCGTAGGATACGAGTGACTCAACCAATAGAATTTACCGAAAATCAGTCTTCTGCTTCCCGCCCCGTTACCCATCCGAGAGGAGATGTAGTGTGGTACGCCCCATGACGTACGCTGCGGGGCATGTTGGGAGTTGTAGTCTCTCTTCCCATGCCCCGCCCCCCTCGATGACACCACTTCCGGGCCAGCTTCCTGAGCCCGGGAGCGGACGTCAGCGCGTCTGTCATCGCCACGTCGCAGACATGGTGAGTACCTCTGCTCGCCACCGACCCCCGCGTGTCCCCTCGGGCTTCAGTAGCCGCCAGGAGTACAGCTCCTCAGCCTTTGAAAGGAACTGGCCCTGCGGGGCCCACGGCGGCAGCTGTCCCTCCGTGGGCTGGGCCGCCTTATCCTCGGCCCGTTCCCGCTAGGGCCCGAGGAAACTGCCCCGCACAACCTGAGCCCACCATCTCGGCCGCGTTTGATCCGCTCCGGGCCTCCTTGTGAATGCATTTTGAGAACGAGGGATTATTCGGCGTTTTTGAAAGTTTTGATGAAGATTGGACCTAGGAAAGATATAAGTAACTTTCATCAAATACTCCATTCCCTTGGCCCCCGTGATGTCACACTGCCCTGGTTTCCCTCCTGTGTAATTGCTCAGCCAGGTCCTCCGATCCCTGTCTTACATGGGTTGTTCTTCAGGGATACTTTTCTTTGCACACTAATCTTTCTCTCAGGTTTGTATCTCCAGCTTGGGCCTTTATTTTGAGCTCCAGATTCACATATTTACTAACTGTACCTCCACCTGGATAGCTGATAGGTTCTTCGGACTCAGAAGGTTCAAAACTGACTCATCATTTCCACCTCCCCTCGTCCCGCACCTGCTCTTCCTCCAGTGATCTCCATGTCAGTAAATGGCACCACCATCCACCCTGCTGTGCATGCCAAAACCTGGGAAGTCATCCTTGACATCTCCCACTTCTCAACTCTCAGTAAGCAAGTCTTATGGACTCTACTTCTAAACGGCCATGACTTGTCGCTCTCTCTGCTCTTTCCATCCTTGTCATTGTCACCGTCAGATCTAACCATCTGCGCTAGTCTCTTAAGGGGGCTTTGAAGCCAGCCTTCACCAGTCTGTGCCCCTGCCTGGATGGGCTCTTCCACCTGCACCCTCATCGTTCCTTTGGGATCATTCCTACTCATACCTACTTACCCTTCAGAGCTCAGCTTAAATGTTATTTCTTCAGAGAGAATCTCAATTCCAAAGTCTAGGGAGATTCTAGTGCTTTCACATATGATCTTTTATGGAATCTTCACAACAACCTTTGAAGTTGTATATTTTTCCAATTTTACAGAAGAGTACAAAAGACTGGAGTGATTAAATGATGCAAAATCATACAGGAATTTACAGTTAAATTTGCTCTTCCCTGTCTTTTATCTTCTTCAGTATCTTTCATTGTCATTAAATATTTTTTATTCATATGGGTGCATAGTCTTTTTTATGGTAGTATCGTTCTTTGTTTAACCAGCTTCTTATTGATAGCTGTTTCGGTGGTTTCCAATTTTTTTTTTTTTTTTGCTATGATGAACAACAGGATGATAAGTGGACGACATTGAAACTAAATGTGTCCTGAACTTTCTTGATTACTTCCTTAGAATAAATTCCCAGAAATAGAATTAGGGCAAAAGCAGTCACCCTTAAAAAAATGTGACAAAGGATTTGTAAGTCAGAAAAATAGTAATGGTACCTACTTCATAATGTTCTGAGGATCAGAGTTAATTTATGTCCACTCATTTAGCACAGTCCCTTTTACATTTTAAGAACTCCTTAAATGTTAGTACTTATTCATTTATTTCAAAATCAGATTCTTACTGTGTAGTGTGGTTCTTCATCCTGTTGGGATATATTTTCAGAATCTGATGAAATCTTTGAAACCTCTTCCCAGAGATTCACTTCCTGTTTCCTCCCCTCCCCACCCCTATAGCAAAATGACCCATGTCATTTGTCACATCAACTACCTGAAATTCAGCATATGGACCCAAATTAAGAATTGCTATTAGGTTCCATTTTACAAGTGCTTTTTTCCCTTTATAAGTTGCAAGCATTTTCGTATGCCGTTAACTATTCTTCTAAAGGATGATTTTTCATGGCTGTATAATATTCATAACTATTTAACCAATCTCTTGTTATTGACATTTAGGTTAACATTCTTATTCCTGGATCTTGGTATGTTTTGCAGATTTCCTTAGACTAAATTTCTAAATGCAGAATCACTGGGCCAAGAATGTGAATATAAGACTTTTGATTCTTATTGCCACATTGCCCTCTGAGAAATTCTACGGTTCATACTCCCACCATTGTGCTCATTGCGGATATTTACATTTATTGTGACAATTATAAACCATTAGTGGTGTATTAGTTTCCCCTCATTGTCTCCACCACCAAGTGTTATCATATTGGGTTTAACGTAATGTCCCATTCTTCAACTAGTTCTTTACCATTGATGTTATTGTGTCATTGTTAAACCCGTTGTTAAGACTATAATTAAAAATATTGTCTTAGAGCAGTGGCCCTCACCCTTTTCCCGTTAGAATCACTAGCATAGCGAGCAGGGGCCTGGGACCCTTTTAAACATCCCTGTGCCTAGATCCTCCTCACGCCAATTAATCAGGATCTCGGGCAGTGCAGCCCAGGTATCAGTATTTTAATGTGGAACAAAGGTCGAGAGTCCCTGATTTAGAATTTAGGGTATTTGTTTTGTTTTTCTCCATAAAACAAGGAGTTAACTCTTGAAATAATTTGAAGAGTCAAGGTTAATTAAGGCCTTAACCTAAACTCAGTTAGATTCTAATTTATTCGCCGGTGAGTGCCGGTGAGTTTGTCTTGTTTTACAATGGAATTTTGCTTTTCTTTGTCTTAGGTGATTTCAGAAACTATGGATATACTCTTCAGAGTAAGAGGAGGCCTCGATCTGGCTTTTCAGCTGGCTACTGCTAATGGTAGGTCTGCCAAAAAGCTCTCCTTTTTTATTATAAAATTGATGCTGAAATATACCAAGATCCTCTCCATTTTGCAAATGAAACAGATTGAGAGAGAAGATAATTAAACTAAGATCATATAGTTAGTGAGTTATATAAATTGGATTTAAACTTAGACTCTGTGTTCCAGCACCACCACTGGCCCATGGGGCTCCTCTGTGCAAATGAGAAAAAGATGTCCCCTTCCTTAAGAAACTTTACTGCCCTCTCGCAGAAAATTGTCACAATAAATGTAAATATCCGCAATGAGCACAAAGTAAATGACACATCCAGGTTTGTCCATTGCAGACTTGCAACTGTACGTAACCCTGAGGCTCCAGAGCCACTCTCTTGAATGTTACCTCGGTTTGGACTCTGTGGGAGAAAACGCAGCAGGGTTTGTGTAAAGCAAATTCTAGGGCATCTTCCTGTTTCTGACTTGGGCTGCTGCCACAACTGAGGTAAAGAGTAGCAGAGGAGGGGTTGGCCTGGTGGCACAGTGGTTAAGTTTGTGCCTCTGCTTCAGTGGCCCAGGGGTCGTGGGTTCAGATCTTAGGCGCAGACCTACACACCGCTCGTCAAGCCTTGCTGTGGTCGCAATCCCACATGCAAAATGGAGGAAGATTGGCACAGATGTTAGCTCAGGGCCAATCTTCCTCACCAAAAACAAAACAAACAAACAAACAAGAATATCAGAGGAGGAAGATGTGGAGTTGTATTTGAGATTTGTTTCACTTGAGATGCCAGAGTATATCAAGTATATCAAGCACAAATTCCCAACAGGCATTTGGTAATTTTGAGTCTGAAACTGAGGGGAGGGTGGTCAGGATTGGAGAATTTTAATATCTCTGAAGGATGATAGTTAACACCTTGATAATAAATGAACTCAATCATGAAAAGTGCCAAAGTTCCTTGAAGGAAATCACCCGCTGGCCGTCGTTTACTGGCCCTGTGGAAATAGGAAGGGAGAGAATGCAGAATGTTCTTTCTGATCCATCCCTTCAGATTAAAATATTGTTCTCAATCTTGATCCACCTTCCAATCCACACTCCCAGACCAATGAAAGTAAGTCTCTGGGACAGAGAGCCAGGCATCAGTAAGCTTTCTAGGTGATTCTACCGTGCCATCAAGATGAGAACCATTTTACAAGGACTACATCAAACTCATTTTCAGGCCTATCTTGTCAGTAAAGGGTGGGTGTTCCCTAATATGTTACTCACGTGGATAAAGCCTTACATTTCACAACTTAATAGAAATTGAAGATGTACTTTGCTATGAACTTAATGCACAGTGTAATGAATCCACTAATCGATAGATGTAATGGTGTGATATCAAATGTAAACTAGTACTGCGGATAGTTTTCACCTAATTAATACACTCGAGCTTGTCTTCTGACTTGATTGTATTCTTCCTCCTGTAACAAACTTCCCAACACTCAGTGAAGGGAATCATTAACAAGAAAATACAGAGAAACGAGGTGCTTAAGTGTAAAGACATCACAGTTTTTTAGATAAACTTTTCCTCATGGTCCTTCAGGGATAAACAGAAGGTAATCCAGGAATTATGTTTGTCTTTTGTAGTGCAGCTGAAAATCTTTAAATTCAGCTTTCTGAAATGTATCAAGATGTTCTAAAATCTGTTTTATTATAAGTAATCTTTTCTCTACCACAACCAAGGTATTTATTTTTCGAGACATCAATGTGATAGTTAAATAAGTATTTGAACCACAAGGTTAAATCAGTTTAGATTTAAGAGTATAAAGCTAGGACAAGTAGTTAAAGTCTTCTTCTTCAAATACATCTTCTTATGTAGTTTTGACTTTGGAACCATAAAAATGTTTTACATATTCAAAAATTCTGTTAAATTAAAAGGGAATCGCTGAAAATGAAGTCAGACAAATAGCAGGTTGATGACGTATCACACAGAAAAAGACCCCTGTGACTGTAGAACACAGAGCTGTAGTTGTATAGTCTTAGTGGGGTATAGTCCAAGGAGAAAAAGAACTACAGAGA